CTTCACAAAAGAAAATATAATTTTAAAGTGATTTTATACTTACATAAACTTATAATAAAAAATTACATTATATATGTAATGTTACATAAATATATGGATTCTTGAAGTTCTTGATATGCTCTTTTTTTTGGATGATTGGAAGGATTACTGTCCCAAAATTTTTTGTAAAGTTCTATATATTGAGACACCTTCTTTTCTATTTTCTCGAAAAATATAAATAACAAGCATAAATGCAGATAGGAATAGAAGCCTTTCACTTGAAAGTTTTCTAAAATTTGTTCAAGGTTAGAGACATCAGATCTTTTATTATGTTTATATCCATACTTAAGATATTGAGGTTTGATATATACTGGCATTTGAATTGAAGCCATAGGCATTTTATTTATTTGCTCTAATAGCCCAAAATCTGTAATCTTTAGTTGACTTTGATATATTAAAATCTTTTTCAAATGCTAAATTATTAAAATACAGCATAATGATTATATGTACTATTTATTTCCCGCAATAGCAAAAATAAGAGGTAAATTTCTGGTTATCTGGAGGCCCTTTGGGTCTCCAGCAGGCCAAAAATCTACTGGGTTATTTACCCATAATGGCAAAATATGGGTATTATCCTTTGTTTTTATATGATGTTATGATGGGCTTTATGACTCACAATCACTACTTTAGCAATGCTTGTTATTTCCCTGAAAGCCTGAGAAAATAACAAGCATTACTGGAGAAATAGCAAGCATTGCTAGAAACTAGGATTTTAACTAATTAAAGTAGTGATTATAAATTGTAAATCCACATCATGTGATCATATAGAAACATTAAATAAGTATTATTAAATTAATAAATATAAAATCCAGTAAAATATACATAGTGCTATACTTACCAAATCTATGAATAATATTATCGTTATGTAAAAATAAAAACCTGAGTGCTATTTCATTAGCAATGCAAATTCAATTTCTTCAATATTACTATAGGTGAGTGATTACAAAGCCTGGCATAAAATTTTTTCTTGCAAAAAATAAAATAAAAAAGTTTCAAACTAGTAAAGATACTTGCCATCAAACCATATTGAACAGAACTTTTTGCTTTTAACTTACTGTGAAAAGATTCAAGAGGATTAGTAGAAGTAATTTGAAGAAGAAGTAGTAAGTGTTGTCGAGCCCAGAGAGACCATTGTCTCGAATTTTTTAAATAATTTCTAGTAATATACTTTGCATTAGCTTGAATGGAACAAGTATTTACAGCATTATAAACAACATCTTCACATCCAACTTGTGTCCTTTTGTGCATCGCGTGAACCATTTTGTTAAGTGTGGGGCTATGGTAAATATTTTTCATCCATGTTCATATGACATGTACAGTACAAAGAAGAACACCACATTCTTGCTCTTTTATAAATCAAAGTAATTTGTATCATAAATTCTCAAAATAGCAAACATGAGCATTATTTCGAATTTTGGCCTGAATTCAGGCCAAAATTCAAAATAATACTTATGCCCACTATTTCAAAAATAGAGAATAAAAAAATATATAATATAAATAAAAAAAAAAATTTAAATTATATTCATTTCCTATTTGCAAAAAGACCTAGAAAAGTTAGTGCAATACCATTGGATTCTATACTGCTTTGATCAAGAAGCATGTACTATGGATTCCAATATGAAGCAAAATTTCGAATAATTCTTAATGCTGCTGCAACAGCTTCACTTGTTTCTCTATTGACAAAGAAATGAGCACCGGCATTCCAACAACCATAGCCATCACAGATGTATAAGATAAATAAACACCAGCCATGCTTATTAGTATTATGTGTAGAGTTAATTAATGTCAGCTAACCATAACGAATTAGATTTTCTATTTGTCAGGAATTTGCAAAACATAGACCCCAAAGACGTGCAAGCAATTCTTGTATTTGAAAAGACTCGACAATTATTTTTTAATAAAAATTCTGTTGCACTTAAAATATCAGATTTTAAATTTACATTTTCAACAAGATGCAAATTCATTGAACCAACTAGCTTCTGCTTAATATTAGCAACCTTCTTGGTTTTCAAATACTCTACATCTGAGTTTTCATACACTTTAGAAGCCTCTTTCTTAATAACATTTGCAATTATTGAAGGTTTGTAATCTTTAATCTTCTCATTACTTGCCATATTTTTAATAAACTTTGATCGTTTACACATATTATTTTTTTCTATTAAATGATTATGATCAGGGGTACCACTTATCTATAAATTATTTATTTATTAATTTTATTATTATTTTTTTTTATTAATAAATTAAAAAAAACATTACATTTAAAT